CTCCTCCCGACACAGCCCCGCTGCCCCCGCAGCCAACGCCGCCCCCCGGCCCCGCACACGCGGCGGGCGCGGGCGGAGCGCGGACCCACCCGAGAGCCCCGTCCCATTGTTCGCCCCGCGCCGCCGCCGCCGCCGCCCCGTTATTTTACCTGCGGCTCCCAGCAACGCCAAGGTCCAGGGCAGCGCGGCGAGCCGCGGCATCGCAGCGGGCGGAGGGCGGGCGGCCGTTTTCCCCCCCGCGCGGTCGGTCGGTCGGTCGGACGAGGCTTGCTGGCGGTGGCGGTGCGCGGTGGTTCCCCCGCCGGCCGTGTGTCCGTCCGTCCGTCCGTCCGTCCGTCCGTCCCTCCCGCTCCGCTGCGCCCGGCGCGTCCCGGCGCCGCCGCCGCGCTGACTGACAGCGCCCCGCGCGCGCCGCCGATCCCTGCGCCGCCGCCGCTTCCAACGGGGAGAGAGAGAGAGAGGCAACGTGTCCTTCCGCCCGCGCGAAATAGTGCCGGGGAGGGGAGGGGAGGGAGGGGAGGAGAGGGGAGGGGAAAGGAAAGGGGCGCTGGGGACACCCCCCCATGACCACCACCCCGCGAGGAGAAGGGTTGGGGCGGCCGGAGGAGGAGGAGGAGAAACGCGGGGATCGCGGGGGGCGTTCGCGCTCTATAATAAATAAATAAATAAATAAATAAATAAATAAATAAAATAAGCAAATAACTATCGATAAATAAATAGAACACTAATAATAATTATTATTATTATCATCACCATCATCAGCACTACTAAATAACATGAACACCCTATATAACATATAAGAGCACATATATAATACATTTATGGATATATACATATATATATATACTATATGTATGGATATATAAAATATATGTACTATATATACATACATATATAATATACATATGGATATATAACATATATGTACTATATATACATATATATAATATACATATGTATTTATAACCTGTGTACTATATATATTATATATAATGCATAAATTATGCAATGTATAATACTATATATAATAATATTATTAAAATATATTAATAACATTATATATACTATAATATATATACTAATATATTAACATTATATATAACATATAATATATTAACATATGTTACATATCAATAGTATATAGCAATATATAACATATAGCATATATATACTATATCACATACTATAATATATATGACTATACATTACATATGATATATAATTATATATAACATAATATATTAACATATACAGTATATATCAATATCTATCAATATCTATATATAACATATAATACATATCATATAATATATATTAGATACTAGATACTTTATATATCCTATATAAATTATATATACTATATGTTATATAGCAATATTATATATCTATATGTAACATAAAATATATATCATAAAACATATATTAGACACTTTATGTATTATAAATATATAACATGTAGTATATATCATATATATCTCATACATAATACATATATTATATATACTGCATGTAACAGAGTATGTAATATATATATGACCTGCTTTGGGATCTGTGCTCTGAGGGGGAGAAAGTTCCCAGGGGAAAAAAAGAAAAAAATAAAGCATTTATTTCATTCAGGCGTAGCCTAAAGTCTGTGTTTTCATTTCATTTGTATTAGAGAACAGCACTTCAGCTCAAGTGGACCTTTGTCATGCTAAATAATTTGGCTTAGTTGGTTAATTGTAGTTGCTACTTTAAAGTGAAATTCAAAATACCTGGAGTGGTTGCGAGCACGTAAGGACTTGTAATAATGACACAGAGGTTTTATTAGCAGAGAACTGATGAGGATAAACCATTTAGGCAGAAGATGCTTTCCTAGATAAAGGCACAATACTCTCTGAGTACAACTTGACACCAGCATTTCAACAATATTTTAATATAGCACATCCACTCCAGGATTTTGCTGTCAGTGCTCTGAAGGATCATTCCAGGCCAGATCATATTCTTTTATTTTATTCCTTTCTGTTGAGAAATCCCTTCCCCCCCTTTCCATTTCATAAAAAAACCCTCCTCTCAAAGAAACAACAATATCACTTATTGCACTGTGATTGAAAACACACCTTCCCTGCTCCCTGGCTCTGCCTGGCCCGGGGCCTCACACTGGATTGATTATCTGCAGAGAGGAACCTTGTTCAGCCACCCCAGGGGCTGGGGGTGAGTCCCTCCCACTCTCCCAGTTCACACCAGTCCCCGCTGCCCTGCAGACTGGGCTCTGTGTCCCTCCCCAAGGCTCACCCAGCCAGGTATCAAGGGTAAAGGTGTTCAGGTCACACTGATGCTCAGCTCAGACCATTCTGCAGAAAACCAACCTTGCCCTGAGAGCATTTGGAATAAAAGCCCTCAGAGAAACAGCTCTTCAACCAAATTTCTGTCTATTGAACACGTTTTCCCTCTCCATGGAGAGCACCCCGAGTTTACAGCAGCTGTCACACAACCTCAGCAGATTAAACCAGCGGAGGAGAGAGTCAGGAGCTCCCAGAACATCTTGCAAGACTCCCACCTTGTTTCTCCAGCCTTTCCAGTGCTGGCTGGCAAACGTGGATAACGTGGTGGGAACCATCTGCTTCTCCCTGGCTGCCCCCTCCTCTCTGCCATCAAATGTCCCCCTGGGCTGGGGCTGCCCCAGCCCTGGGAGTGTCCAAGGCCAGGCTGGAGCAACCTGGGCTGGTGGAAGGTGTCCCTGCCCATGGCAGGGGGTGGATCTTCCCGACCTGTAAGTTCCCTTCCAACCCAACCCATTCCATGATTCTACACCAGCTGGATTTCTGCTACCGGGAAACTCTGGAGCCTCCACCGTGAGCAGTTGGATCAACTCCAGATCAGTGCCCAGTCATTCCCTCCAGAGGGAAGAGGCTGAGCTGCCCCACTGTTATTGGTGCTGCCAGAACCAGTTTGGAGAATCAGTCCTGGTTTCCAGAGGCCTGACACGAGTGCCTGTTTCCTTACAAAGACAGAGACCCTGGAAAAATCACCTTCCCAGCATCCAGAATGAGAGATCCTGGGGGAGCACAGGCACTCACTGCCACTGTGTGCAGAATGAGACCAGAACACTCACTCCTGATGCACAGAACACTCATTCCTGATGCACAGCTGCCCATTTCACAAACCACCACCAGGGATTTTTCCATGAGAACTCAGCCATCTCCACAAAAATCCACAAAAATCCACAAAACCAGCAAAATTCCTACTTGTTGAGCTCTAGTCTGGTACAGAACATTAAATCAATGAAGGGAGCAGCTCCTTCCCCTGGAAGCTGACATCCCATAAAATTGGGACAGAAGGATACATGAAGAAAAACTGTTGCACACAACAAATAGTGTGAATTATTATACACTATACAGGAGCAGCTGTTTGTGTTAGAGATGTCCAGTGTGTCTTTACTCATATTAAGCAATAATTTAGCCCCTGATAAGGGAGTTTGAGGGTAAATAAAGGGAAGAACTCCCAGGGAAATCAGCAGTGCAGAAACCACCCCAAACCCGGAGCAGAGTAAAGGAGGAGCTGGGGACACCTTCCACTTGTAGCAGAAATATGGGCTTTTCTCTTTGAAATATTTGACACAGCAAAGACACCCGTTGTCTAGGCTGAATTTAAGCCTCTAAGTAATTTAAAAACAAAATCATGGATTTTATGATGAAAATCCAGTGGAGCTGAGTCCCAAGCACATCCAAATCGAATGAGGTGCTCCAAGTACATTACCTGAAATATTTCCCTTTTTTTTGGCCGTTAACAGAGGTTTATGGGCCGTGCCCAAGCATTTCTTTTTGTTAATCTATAAAATGAAAAGGGAAAAAAAAATCACATAAATCAATAACTGAACTGCAAGTTTCAGTTATTGACTTCATGGGTACTTTGCATAAAAGTGAACAGGAAATTCGAACCAAGTTTTCAGCCACATTTCCAAACAGCAGCAATGGGATCTGTCAAATTAATTCCACTTCTACTATGCAAATACAAGAATAAGTGAATTTTAACTACAGGGGCATTTCACAGAGGATGTGCACCTTCAACATCATACACAGATTGTTTAAATAACCCTCTCTAAAGCCAGAATTCCTCCTTTTTTTTTTTTTTTTCCAAAATCCTGGTTGGTATCTGAGACAGGATTATTCCAAGAAACACTGGAAATTCTCTATGACATTAAAGCATCGTGTGGGGTCAAGAAAGGGCCTGAACTGTCAAGCTAAAAAGAGATAACCCAGCAGACAGGTCTGGTTTGTAGTCAGCCTTTGAGGAGAAAGGTTTGCAACCTAAATTTGCCGGTGAGGTCAAATCCCAAGATTCCAACCTGATGCAACAGGGCAGTAACAACCCTGGCAGTGCAATGACAAATGTTTTCTGTTGCTGATCAGGGAAAAGCACCAGGGATCGTTTTCACCAACACCCCCCTCGTGTTGACATAATTAAGGAGAGGGAGCCTGCAACGAATTACTTGGGATTTTCTGGGGGAAACACTAGACCCTGATTTGTAAGCCACAAAATATAGCTCGTTCCTTATTTGTAGGTTATGGAAAATAGGCACAATTAGGGGCACACTGAGGGAATGCACTGCAGGACTGTCTCTGCTCAGAGTGGGATCATTCTGTGCTTCGTGGGTATTTCTGATGATGGATAACAACCCCATGTAAAATGCCTTCAAATCAATATTCTCCACATGCAAGCAGAGATAGTCCCTCGAAATATCCTCTTTGCCACAGATTATTTTTGTAGGTCTTAATATAGAAAAAAAAAAAGGAACAGTATCTCCCTTTTCTTAGGCTCACAGAGCTGTTCATGTTCTTCTGGTGAGGTCACAGGCCATGAGAACGAGGGAATGAGAATCTGAGAGGCAAAATCACAGTCCAGAAATTCAGGATCTTGGCACTCAGTGCTTTATCTCCACACCTGGAAGCAACCCCAGCACCCATCTCAGCCTCTGTCCTGCCCTGGGGTTCTGCAGGAGGTGATTGTTCCATGCACAGAGCTGAGATGTGCACGTGGCACCTGCTAAATCAGCCAGGGAAACATCCAGGGACAGGGATTTCAGGAGCTGCTCTGTCAATCTGACTCACATCCCAAATGCCACCAGTCTCCTGGCATTCCTGGAAGTTATTTGGCAGTTATGTTCCATGCAGTTATGGAAATAAAAAGAAATCTCCCACCTTCGGAGTTAAAATTTCAAATTTGATGTGTATGCTTCCATGTATAACACCATTATACTTCCACTGTGCAGTAAATGTCTCATTTTAATATTTTTAATCTACCCAGTCAACTC